GTATCAATAAGTCACAAGGCTTTCTGTGTCCGAGAGCTCTGGAATGTGGGTGTAGGGGTCTTGTCCTTATATGGCTAGAGTTAAACACTGACGTTAGTATGAACACTTCTATATAGTAACAGAGGGACACGAGGTCACTCTCTGTTGGCTTGGCTTTTGGCTCTGTACAACGATGTAACTCTCCCATCAGAAGTCCAGCAATTACCATCTGCTGTTGAATGTCCATAATCCTGTAACATCCTTTATTATGTTTTATTATGTATCCGTAACAAAGAATAAACCTGAAGAAACCGTAAGTCAGATTGCGTATTACTACTTTTCAATAATATATACATATATTATTGTGGCGAGCATTTGGCCCAAGACTATATATACAAAAGACGTATATTTATCAATCAACTGAAGATAAGAAGAAATTAAGAAGATTCTACATTATCACCGTTTCAAAATTACATTTTACAGGAACTAAAATAGGCTACTCGACGGCACGAACACCGCTGGACTTCCAGACCGTTCGGGAACGCCGGTCTTTCTGTACTTTTCTTCAAAATGTGCATTTGTGTGTTTTGTTGAGAGTCCATGTTAAACTGTATTTTACGTGGCGTTTGGCTGATTGTGCTGGGATCCAAGCGGTAATCTACCGAAGTATGCACTCAGATCCAAGCTATTTACCTATATATAATTCGGTACAACAGCCCGAGTAATGTGCCAGTTATGTATTTTTAAGTGAAAAGCCCGGTTCTGCTGTACAGAGGGATAATCCACTTAACAGGATATTCTGTGGGAGTATCCCTCTCGTACAGCAGTGCATGGTGGGAGAAATGTCTTGCATATTCAGTTCCCTGTGTAGTCCCCTACTGTATAACCCCTGTAAAAGGACTAAGGAAACCCCTTGCAGGAGGAACCACATACATACTGGAGCATGTGAATAAAATCGTCAGTTGACTCCCAGAACTGTGTTTTGTCTGGTTACTGGGGGATTTGGGATATTGCCTTCATTTCAGAGCTTTTCTTGGATTACTTTCTTTTACCAGCGGAGATATTGGGATTTAATATTGCAGCTCTGCTACAGCGGCCATCTTGTCTTCCGAATGTGGGCAGCGGTACTTGGTCATCGAGTGCCTGGAACTACTTTTGGCTAGGCACTTGCGCGAATGCCGATAAAACTGAGACCGCTGCCCGTTCTATTTCCAGACCACCTAGACGAATGAGGTTCCGGAGGTATGAATTACTGAACAGGGGGAGCATTCGTATCCTGAAATGAAGAAATTCCTTTGCATGGTGTTGGCACTGGAACCTCACGAATGGAGTCTGTCCAGGGCACCTATTTCCCTGGAACTGTTTTGGGCTAGCAACTCGTGCCTTTCCGGTCAAAACTTTACCTCAATGGCATTTCCGATTCACCGAACCAATCTGAGTGATTCTTGGATATGTTATACACTCAGATCGGGGATATCGGGAATGTACTTTTTGTGGGGTTCCTATGTACGGTGGGGGTACTTTTGAGGCACAGTATATTTTGTAGGATTTTCTCTACCTGAGAGATAATTAAATTAGAGGATTTTTCTCATGCAGTGATCTTTCAGGCACAGAGGATACTGGGATTGAAACCCTTGTATTATTGTGTGGAAAACCCCTTGCATGGGACTGGGCATAAAAGCCATGTGTGTGACAATAAACTTCAGTTGTACTCCCAGAGCTGTGTGAAGTCCAGGTGCTGGGGAGGAGGTGGGATATTTACTTGGTGTTTTACTGGTTCCTGATTTTACTTTTGTGGATCCAGCGGAGAAGAGTCTTTGCTAGGACTAGGGCACTGCTACACCACAGGGCAATGAAAACTGACTAAACTGAGTTTAAACAACCAAAAACGGGCACTTAATGGTCCACGAAGATCATTTGACATCAGGAAATGTGTGTGTGACACATGTTCATGATTGTCAATGATTAAGGGGACATGGGAAGCTTACAAAAGTCTTAGGTGCACAGCGGCCGGCGTCTCTAACGCTTACAGACCCAGCCACTGCTTGGGTGAGTAGACCTTGACGCTGTGACAACTATAGTGTTCTCCTTCATTTAAGAATAATAGGTCCCACCCCACCCAAATGTAAATAAAAATACATTTAAAAAGCTCATATGCGAGCACCGCGCTTGTCAAATCAAATAATTCTCACAGGAAAGCAATGAATCCAATACTTCCCTATGGATAACAATTAATGACGTGTGACATCCTCATGCAATCATGTCACGTGATCGGGTCAAACTCTGTTATGAGTGCCAAAGCGCCTCTAGTGGCTGTCGGACAGAGTGTTTCAGCCTTCAATCAAAACATTGCCGTACTTACTAAATGCCAATGTTTGAATAGCAGGGCTAAAATGCCAGCATCCAAAGCACTTCATTAAGATAAAGTGGTTTTGGTACCTTATATTATCTGAGTGCAAAATCAACTGACATTATTGATTTCTTTGCAGATTTCAAACTTTGAGTATGTCACAGATGAGATATGTAAACTGTTATTAACATCATTTCATTGCTACTGAATGTTTCTCCAGTTTCCTCACTAACTGTGCGTACGAGTATCCGTATAAATAAGTCATATTTAATCTAATTGATAAATATATATGAAGCATCTGGGTGAGCCTTCTGGAGAAGGTTGGTATGTCTGGAAATTGAATAAAAACAAAGGAATATCTGATGGAGTCTGGGCCTCTCGGCTCATGTCTGGAATAAAAAGTACCACAAAACGTGGAGGAGAGGTGATGGCATGATGAATACGAAGGATGAGAAGGACAGATAAGAAGACAATGTGGATAATCTGTTCAATAAGGGAAAAGGTTACAGACAGTGAGGTGAAAACATGGCATGGAATAGTGAGGAGGTCCCCAGGCTCAGCTTATAATTTAGTCCTCAGGTAATGAAGTATTGATTTTTCAGTTGAGAATGAATGGTTCGCTTTTGATCAATGAACTCAAAGCAGAGAGTTCTGGGGCAGCAGCTCCATTCTAACTTACTGTTGCTTGACAGGAGACAAAAATAGACTTAAACCGTCAATTCATTTAGCTTCGGCCTGCATACAATCTCAATTTTTAAGGTATTAGTGGGGGATTGACAGAGGAAATATGAAGATAATCTGGAGAATTTTATCACAGAATGTGTAATCACAGCATTTATTAGCAATGATCAGTGGGTGCAGAGCTAAATTAGGATCTTTGTGAGTTTCCCACCTTGTGTACTTGCTACAGAAATGTTATCGCTTGTCCCTCGTGTTCAACATATAATGTAATCTTAAACAACGTCACATTGTCACTAGCATGTATAGCTCTGGGTGAGTCCATTCTGGAGACTGGTGTGGGTGAGTCTGGCAATATTGAGACCGGTGCGGGTGAGTCTGGCAATGGGGAGACCGATGTTGGCGAGTCTGGCACTATGGAGACCAGTGTGGGTGAGTCTGGCAAGTCTGGCAATGTGGAAACCAGTTTGGGTGAGTCTGGCAATAGGGAGACCGGTGTGGGTGAGTCTGGCACTATGGAGACTGGTATAGGTGAGTTTGGCAATGGGGAGACCGGTGTGGGTGAGTCTGGCAATATGGAGACAAGTGTGGGCAAGTCTGGCAATGGGGAGACCGGTGTGGGTGAGTCTGGCAATACGGAGACAGGTGTGGGCGAGTCTGGCAATACGGAGACCAGTGTGGGCGAGTCTGGCACTATGGAGACTGAAAGTGGGTGAATCTGGCAATGGGGAGACCGGTGTGGGCGAGTCTGGCAATGGGAGAGTGGTGTGGGAAGTCCGGTAACGGGGAGTTCGGTGTGTGTGAGTCTGGCAACGGGGAGACCAGTGTGGGTGAGTCTGGCAATAGGGAGACCGATGTGGGTGAGTCTGGCAATAGGGAGACCGATGTGGGTAAGTCTGGCAACGGCGAGACCGGTGTGGCCGAGTCTGGCAACGGGGAGACCGGTGTGGCCGAGTCTGGCAACGTGGAGACCGATGTGGGTGAGTCTGGCAATGGGGAGACTGGTGTGGGTGAGTCTGGCCATGGAGAGAGCGGTGTGGGTGAGTCTGGCAATAGGGAGAGCGGTGTGGTCGAGTCTGGCATATGGATACTGGTGTGGGTGAGTTTGGCAATGGGGAGATTGGTATGGATAAGTCTGGCAACTGAGAAACCAGTGTGGGCGGGTCTGGCAATAGGGAGACCAGTGTGGGTAAGTTTGGCAACGGGGTGACCGGTGTGGGTGAGTCTGGCAATATGGAGACTGGTGTGAGCGAGTCTGGCAATAAGGAGACTGGTTTGGGTGAGTCTGGCAACGGGAAGACCGGTGTGGGTGAGTCTGGCAATATGGAGATCGGTGTGGGCGAGTCTGGCATATGTAGACCGGTGTGGGCGAATCTGCCATATGGAGACTGGTGTGGGCGAATCTGCCATATGGAGACTGGTGTGGGTGAGTCTGGCAATATGGAGACCGGTGTGGGCGAGTCTGCCATATGGAGACCGGTGTGGGTGAGTCTGGCAATATGGAGACCGGTGTGGGCGAGTCTGCCATATGGAGACCGGTCTGGGTGAGTCTGGCAATATGGAGACCGGTGTGGGCGAGTCTGGCGATATGGAGACCGGTGTGGGCGAGTCTGGCGATATGGAGACTGGATGTAGGTGAGTCTGGCAATAGGAAGATCGATGTCCAGTTAAAACAGATTTTACACATTGTGGAATTCATCATTCATCCCACTTGGTATTTCATAGTACATAATGCTTTGGATGTATAAAATTATACAAAAAAACCCAAAAACATTGTTTTTATATTTTGCAGATAAAAACCAGGAATATGTTAGGATTTCCTAAATACATATATTTATATTGCTAAGTTACAATGTCCAGACAGGAGAGCCGGGGAAGAATCTTCAGTCCTGAAAGAGGACTCCATTATTAAGCTGTTTGTCCTGGGCTGCGATTCCTCCGGACGCTGGAAGGATTCCCGAGGTGGTGGCTCCTGGCGATCACAGCGCTGGTTGTTATTCCAACAGAGCAGCATCTCCAGTTTCGTACAATCACTGGAGACACACGCACTGTAGAATACACCCAGGCCTTGTCCACCGAGCGTCTTCTCTGACAGGAAGGAAATGTAAGGTAATTCCATGCAACAAACATGTTATCGAACACTTTCACAGCCATTTCTTAGCCTTAGTGCGCAAAATAAAGCAGAAATACTAACAGTATCAGCAAACTAGGAACTAAAGGCTTCTGGGACGGTATGTGGGACCTAAACTAACTCAGTACACCCCATGTGCTCCTTAAAGCAGGCCTCAATATTCCCACTCGCCACTAGGTGGCAACCGTCCAGTCAGGCTGCAATCTGTAACTCTGGGACTAGCAACAAACTCAGCCAATTAAAATCCAATTAGCTGGTGAAATGTTATCTGCAGGAACAAGACTGGGTTCATTCTATTACACAGAACACACACAGCTTGTGAATGAAGTACAAACATGGGCCCAATCAACAAATATATCAATAGTCAGTTATTCATTTACCACTAATTTTCCAAACAAATTGTTCATGTCATTCACAGGAATGTATATAATAACTGTCACAATATTGCTCTACTTTAAAAAAAGTGAAACACTTATAACTTAATCAAAAGTAATTAAATTAAACCGGGATTATCTGCAATATTCTTCTTGCTCCAGATTTTAAAAAAAGTAATGCTTTAAGGGGGCACTCCAACATCTTATTCTCCGAGCACTCTGGTGTATCTGCAGAAATATTTATTTAAATCAATGTACTTATACGCCATCACCATATCTTTCTATGAGAGAGTCTGCACTACACGTGTGCTCCCATCAGGAACAAATGTAGGCTACGAGGAATCTCGGCCACCTCCTGGTCATTTGGAAAAGCTATAGTTTTGATTAAAGCAGCACTGTCCCACTCTGGGGACTTCACAAAAAGTCCCTCAACGGTAACATCTCCACTGGTGCTCCGGTGGCCGGCGGGCAGTTAAAGGTGAGATTTAACTTGTCCCTCCTAACAGGCGTGGCCAACTTTTACCAGACGGTCATTTACAGCGCTAGGAGTGGACGTCACTGCTGTACTCTCTCACATGACCAAGGAGTCCTCCATAGACCGCGCCATCACTGATGACAGCTGTTGGGAGCAGTGACCCTGTAGTTCTGCACAGACAAAGTCAGGGGTAGGAAATATACAGAGATATAGTAGTCCATATTTTGTCTCTGTATATCTCTCGACTGGCTTAGAATTTCAGTAAAATTCCAACACAGTCAAAATAAGTATTTGATAAAGATTTTATATTTATGAAATAATATTTTTTTTAGAGGGGGTGACAGTGTCGCTTTAACCCCTTCAAGACGCTAGACAGAAATTTTACGTCATGCTTGTCCTTGAATTAATTTCCGTCATTTACTAAAGTTAACCCCAGATTTCAGTTATCGCGGAGATCACATGGTTAACATTCCTCTGGTCTGCCTCGGTATTAACGGCAGACGGGGAGCACCCGATCGCACTGTCCCTGCAGCTGTGATCGCTCTGACAGCCACATATGCTGCAGGGACTCCTGCTCTTCCGGGGTCAGTGTGAAGTGCAGGGAGACGGATCAGCACTGATCTTTTCCCTGCAAAAATACAAAATAAAGTAAAAGTTAAATCCCAACCTCACTTTCCCCTGCTTTATGAAAATTAACCCCTTCCCTGCCATTTGATCACTGACTACAGTGATCAAAATACGGTTTAGGGTATTTTACTGTGATATGATTTTAAAAAAACAAAAACAAAAAAAAATGTAACCAGAAGTTTATTTATTAATTCATTTAAATATTTTAGAATTGAGGGGGGTGGAAGTTAGTGGGGAATTGGGGAATTTGGTGTTAGGTTAGCTATGGGTTAACGTTAAAAAAAGTTTTAAAAAAAAGCTTTAAAAAGTAAAAAAAAAAAATGTTTACCCAGTCCTAATAAAAAAGTAACCCCTTCCGAGCCAGTTGATCACTGCCTTAAAGTGATCAAAATACAGATCACATTATTATACTGTGTTCTGATTTTTTTAAATTTTTTTTTTAACTTTGATTTTTTTTTTTTTAACCCTCAGGGGTTCAATTTATTACGTTACTTAATTTAAATACTTTAGAATTATATATTTTGCTAGCTGGGGTGGGTGGGAGTTATGGGAAATTGGTAAATTTACTGTTAGTGCTGCTTACTGCTAGTTAGCAGTAACGGTAAAAAAAAATTATAACATTTTTTAAAGTGTAAAAAAAGTTAAGAAAAAACTGAATGGCTGCGTCTCAAATGTGCCCTTCAACATCCACATATACCTGGCAAAGGTACATATGAGGGTATTGCTGTACTCATACGATGCAGCTGAGCAACGTATGAAATATTAAAGGACCACTATAGTGCCAGGAAAACATACTCGTTTTCCTGGCACTATAGTGCCCTGAGGGTGCCCCCACCCTCAGGGTCCCCCTCCCGCCCGGCTCTGGAAGGGGGAAAGGGGTTAAACTTATCTTTTTCTAGCACTGGGCGGGGAGCTCTCCTCCTCCGATCCGCCCCGTCGGCTGAATGCGCACGCGCGGCAAGAGCTGCGCGCGCATTCAGACGGTCGCATAGGAAAGCATTTACAATGCTTTCCTATGGACGCTTGCGTGCCCTTACTGTGCACGCAAGCGCCTCTAGCGGCTGTCAATGAGACAGCCGCTAGAGGGAATGGGGGAAGGCTTAACCCATTCATAAACATAGCAGTTTCTCTGAAACTGCTATGTTTATAAAAAAATGGTTTAACCCTAGAAGGACCTGGCACCCAGACCACTTCATTAAGCTGAAGTGGTCTGGGTGCCTAGAGTGGTCCTTTAAACAGCTGTAGTACACATAAGGTTGGCAAAATATACTGTGCAAACGCATTTTCTCTGTCAAAAAGGAGGAAAAATGCTTATTACCACTACAGTACAAAAAGTACAAAAAAAAATACATTTAAAAAATGCTTATTACCACTACACCTGGAACAAACTAGCGAAAAAATAATCCACACCAAGGTTAAAAATATGCCTTTTGACATACCTTGTGATGTCTTTTTTAAGAAATTGTATGCCTTTACGGTGTAGTTGGTATATGTAGCCTACTAAAGTTCTCCAAAGTGGCACACAAACGCATCAAAACCCTCCATGAAAATTTACACGTAAAAACCTGAACTTGTCACGTCTCTTTTACAGCACTGTAACTTCACAAAATAGTGTCTAGGTCATACATTGGGCTTATTGTTTTACTCAGAAGATGTAACTGAGCATAAGTTGGGGGGTTTTATGACAATGGAACATATAAGGTGCAAGAAATACTCTGTACAAATGCAACAAGTATGTACAAATGCCATTTTTTTTACCCTCACCACAAACATTGACATAAATTGGTGAAAAAATGGTGACAAGTTAAGGCACAATATATGCCATATAAGATATCCTGGAGTGTCTGCTTTATCAAATGGAAGCCCTTAGTGGGTTTATTTGAACAGTCACAGTGCTATAATACCCCAAAATGAGACATATGCCCATCATATCCATCTATGAAAATTCTAACTATAGAAACTGAAGTAGCCTTGTCTCTTCATAGAATAGTGCCAAAGGCATACAATGGGGTATTGTTATACTCAGCAGATGTAGCTGAACACAAAATCACAGTGAGAATCGCGGAAGCGCCTCTAGCGGCTGTCAATGAGACAGCCACTAGAGGCTGGATTAACCCATATGTAAACATAGCAGTTTCTCTGCTTACAGCATTAAGCTGAAGTGGTCTGGGTGCCTATAGTGGTCTTTTAACCTTGATCCATATTCTGTGACCTTGAGAGTGAGTGATCTTGAGAATCTTATTGGTCATTTTTATAAGTCTTGACTTTGTAATAAATTATTTTAGTCATTTGAATAAAGGTAATCTGTAGCTCTACAGGAACTCTGGTTGGCAAAGCATCATAGGAGAAGTAGTTTATTAGCAGTTGGAGAGCTATCTGCATAGACGTGTGCACGGGATGTGGTGGCAGGTATACCCTAATACAGAGGGGGTGTCCTGTGACTCCCTGATTGGCCTCTTTATTCGCTTACAGCTGTGAGGGAGCATGTGGTCTGTACCTCCATTGGGCACAGATCACTCTAAATGCTCTCTACAGTCCCAGACCAGAAGAAGGTTTTACAGTGATCCATATCCACTCACCGGACAAGCAATGTGCTTTATCATAGCCCCACCGGACTAACAGGGGGCTGCTTCATAGACCCACCAGGTCATAAGGGAGCAAAAAACCATGATCACAGTGCCCACTGGACTGCAACAGAATTGGCATCATTGCCTCCCTGCTTAAAAGGTAAGGCAGGTGGCAACCCTGTATTGTATATTTATTCATTTTGTTTTTAAGAAATAGAATATGCATAAAGTGATATCACAAACACAGCCTCCACACACACTGCTGTCCGCACACCTAAAACACATCACACACAGCCAGCTGCAAAAAGCCACCGCACTCATCACACACAGTTAGCTGTACAAACCCACTCATACACATCACACCACACACAGCCACTCATAAACATCACACCACACACAGCTAGCCGCACACAGTAACTCACACACAGCCAACCGCACACAGCCATTCATACACATCACATCACACACAGCCAGCTGCAAAATGCCACCACACTCATCACACACAGCCACTCATACACATCACAGACATTCACTCATACAAATCACACCACACACAACCAGCCGCACACAGCAACTCATACACATCACATCACACACAGCCAGCCATACACAGCCACTCATACACATCACATCACACACAGCCAGCCGTACAGAGCAACTCATACACATCACATCACACACAGCCAGCCATACACAGCCACTCATACACATCACATCACACACAGCCAGCCGTACAGAGCAATTCTTACACATCACACCACACACAGCCAGCCGTACACAGCCACTCATACACATCACATCACACACAGCCAGCCGTACACAGCCACTCATACACATCACATCACACACAGCCAGCCGTACACAGCAACTCACACACAGCCCACCAC